ATGGACCAACTAGGAGATTGCTTGATAGACTCAATGGATATGCTGAGCCTGGGAAGATCAAGGCTGTCATGGGTCCATCTGGGTCTGGGAAAACAACTCTTCTTGATGCATTAGCAGGTTTTTCACCACCCTCTTTTTTTCTTCCTTTCTCTTTCTCAAGAATGCATTTCTGTATATGGGAGATATATGGACATACAAACAGTGGTGAAGCATCATAAAAAATTTCCTGACAAGTCCACACACAAGTTAGCAGCTAAAGTATGCATTCCCAGTCCTTAATCATCTTTTCATTTCATGGTGTGCATTCATTTTAGTGATTTCTTTTCTTCCTTCAGAACTGGGATTCTTGGCTGAAGCCTAAGATAGGTTATGGGGTCAATACAAGGAATTGGTAGGGTCAAAAGTGTCAAAATATCTAAGTAGCATTTACTACCACCAGAACAAATGACACAAAATATGAAAAAAGCCTCTTCCTTTTGAGAACTTATGTATGGCAACTTAGGTGTAAGAAAGTACACATGTCAAATCCCAAACACTGGTTTATGTCTCTTTTCCTCACTCCCTTTACTCGAGCTTTCAATTCCACCAAGTGACCAAGTCATAGCATGTTTGAGTTCCTCTATCCCAAGTGTTTGGCAGTTGGTGACCAAAATAATTGATGGCTTACATTAAGACCAAATGAATGGATAATAGTGATGCTAGAAAATTGGGTCTTGAAATCTTTAATGAAGAAGTAACTGCTGGAATTCCTTACTTAGAACCAAGGGTGGGGTTTACAGGCCAGAAAGTCAGTTGGACGCTTTTAATCTGCTTTATAAGGGCATCATATGTCTATTTTATTTAGCTATAGCTTTCTTTTACTGGAGGGGAAACCATTTATTGGACACAGAAATTGGCTTAGAGGGAAGTAACTGAGGTTCATCAATTCCAATCCCATCCTACTCGTCCATGGAAAATAGAACCTCCCAATAAATTCAATAGACTAGCCACAGATGCTTTTAAGCCTAATGTGACTAAATTATCAGAAACATGCTTACTTAGCCTCCCTACTGAATTTTCAAAGGAAATCTGTAGCTAACCACTAACCTGGATCTTTTCTGTCACATAAACTGCAACTCCTAAACTGCAATAGGTCACTGATTCATTAGGTGATTGAACGGCTTCGAAGGCACAAAACATTACCGTACAATGAGACCGATTCAAAGCGCATGTTCTAGACATATGGGAGGGGACAGTAGATCTATGCACTGCTAGGAAAGTAAACTTTAATAATGTGGCAAAGCTTATCCCATAGTTGCATGTAGACTTGTTCTGTACAAATCTTCAATGCAAGAAATATGGGATTTAGGGAAAAAACATAGCTTTTAATGTTGAGAACTTCACCATGCAACTCTTGACGTGATGCAGGTAGGCTGCCAGCGAATGTGGTGATGACTGGGAATATCCTACTTAATGGAAAGAAGAAGAGACTCAACTATGGCGGTGTTGTAAGTTGCTTTACTTATTCTACCAGGAACTTTTCTACTTTTCATATGTCTAGAGAGAAATTGAAGCAGAAAAATGTCAAGCCTGAAATTTGTTCACAATCATCTTCAAAACAGAATGCTATATAGGAATCTGCTTCCTGAAGATAGAGTAGCCCATCCAGATAACTGTTTTCTGGAAGATGTTAATTTATAAGACTGTAACTAGTCTCAAGGTAGCGGTTTATCCACCTAATACATCTTAAAAATGGTCCAACATGTTTATCATTCCCAACATGAGGTGGTGGCTCTATATTTCCTCAAGAATACCATTCCTTAATGCTGAAGGAGCATTTAAGTTAGTTCTAGTCATGCCTATGGTTTTTCAGGGTTATGTAAGACAAGAAAATACACTGCTGGGGACTCTCACTGTGAGAGAGACCATAAAATACTCTGCTCACTTGAGACTTCCAAGCACAATGAAGAAAGAAGAAATTGATGACATTGCAGAGGGAACTATAGCGGAAATGGGTCTCCAAGATTGTGCAGATCGATCGATTGGGAATTGGCATTTAAGGGGCATAAGTGGTGGGGAGAAGAAAAGACTAAGCATTGCACTTGAAATCCTCACTAAGCCTCACCTTCTATTTCTAGATGAGCCTACTACTGGCCTGGACAGTGCCTCGGCTTTCTTTGTGGTTCAAACTCTGAAAAACATTGCTAAAGATGGAAGAACAATCATATCTTCGATACACCAGCCAAGCAGCGAAGTTTTTGCACTTTTTGATGACCTTTGCTTGTTATCTGGTGGTGAGACTGTCTACTCCGGAGAAGCAAAAATGGCAGCAGAGGTATGACTACATATCATCCAACACTTATTGCATAGTTCTCGCCGTAATACAACTTCAATTGTTTTTATATTTTCTTGGGCTACATTCTAACTGAAGCGTACAATAATGTAGTTCTTTGCTCAAGCTGGATTCCCTTGTCTCATAAGGCGAAATCCTTCTGATCATTTCCTACGTTGCATTAATTCAGACTTCGACCAGATCAAACTTCCTTTGATGGGATCTAAACAGGTTTGTAAAACTAATATGGAGGATTCAACCTTGCAATGTTTTTCTTCCCAAGTTTGAAAGCCAACTATGCACACTGTTTTAAGTATAAGCTACTGTTTACTTGTGACATCTTTCTCATTTTTACAGACTTTAAGCATTTTTTAATGTTTTTTATATTTTTTTTACTTCCTGGACTCTAGGACATGGGTAAACCGTTGGAATCTTCAACATACTTACCCACGGGAGAGATCAAGGCAATGCTAATCAAGCAATACAGGCCATCCAACTATGCAACCAGGGAAAAAGAAAGAATGAAGGAAATCCTGGCTATTGTAAGCACTCCAAAATTTTATTTTCTTCGGCATCTGGCACATTAATTTTCCCTCTGATAGTATAATCTAATCCAGCAAGTGATGGTTTAAACTACCTAAGTTCAACTGAGTCTTTACTCATATTCTACAAGACAGAAAAAAGAAGAAGAAAAAAAAAACACAGACATGGCCTTGCGAAAGCAATCTGACTGCAATTACGTGTACATTTCAATTTCAATAGTACCTTAAACATGAATCAATCAAACACCAGTTCAGACTAGAAGGAAACAATTCACAACTTTCAAGCAAGTAATTCATCTTATCTGCGAGAGAAGCACAGTAGAAAAAAACATGTTTTACATAAATAATTCAACTTAGTTGTGGTTTATGCAGAAAGGAAGTGCGATTAAAAGAAAAGTGACCAGGCAAGCGAATTGGTCGAAGCAACTCTGCACATTGACACAAAGATCTCATGTGAATATGAGGAGAGATTTGGGTTACTACTGGGTCAGGATAGGAATCTATGTAGTCTTGTCTGTATGTGTCGGTACCATCTTTTTCGATATTGGAACAAGTGGTTCAATCTTTACGAGAGGAGCCTATGCCGGATTCATTTCAGGCTTCATGATATTCATGTCCATTGGGGGCTTTCCTTCCTTCATTGAGGAATTGAAGGTGAATAACCCCATCCACTATTACTAGGATCTTGTAGTAAAGATCCATGGAGACTTATTTACTAACACCTTTTAATGCTCACTCGTTTGCAGGTTTTCCATGAAGAAAGACTAAACAGGCACTATGGAGTCGGGGTGTACATTCTATCAAACTTCCTCTCTTCGTTCCCTTACCTGATAGTTATGTCACTCTCCACGTCGAGTATTACCTATTACATGGTAAAATCCAGAGCTGGGTTTTCAGGATTTGTGTTCATCTTTCTCGACCTTCTAAGCTGTATAGCAACTGTTGAGAGCTGCATGATGACCATAGCCTCACTTGTTCCCAACTACCTAATGGGTATCGTTATTGGAGCCTGCTATATCGTAAGAAACAACAACAATCTCTCACTCACTCAGTCACTCACTCAAAGGGTGGGGTTTTTCTAATTCTACATTCATTTTCTCTGTGCAGGGGATCCTAATGATGACTTCAGGCTTCTTCCGTTTCCTGCCTGATCTTCCTAAGGTTCTGTGGCGTTACCCAATCTCTTACGCCAACTTTGCTGTATGGGGACTACAGGTAAAGAAAGATATCTTCCTAAGTTCTTCTTGTTGGAACTGGGAATCATATATCATTCTTCAAGAAAGCACATACATGATAACTTGTTCTTCTTCTACTATGAATACTAGAGCTGGAAATATAATACTGGGAATGGTGCAGGGAGCATACAAGAACGACATGATCGGGCAGGAGTTCGAAGCTCTAGTACCTGGTGGGCCAAAGCTGAAAGGTGAAGTCTTCCTGACCACAGTGCTGGGAGTCAACATTGGATACTCCAAGTGGTGTGACTTAGCTGCAGTTGCTGTGATCCTAATAGCTTTCAGACTTGCCTTTTATGCCATCCTCAAGTTAAAGGAGAGATCTTCACCATTGCTGAGGGAGATCTACACCAAACGAACACTGCATCATCTCAAGAAGAAAAGGCCATCTTTTAGGATTTCGAGTTCTTCGCGCTTCCCTTCTAAGAGGCATCAACAAGTCCTTCATTCTTTGTCCTCTCAAGAAGGTCTCTCCTCTCCTATCCACTAGGCTCCTCAAACTCACACCACCTGTGAAGAAACAAACAATTGTGCAATTAGTGGAATTGCCCTTCACCAAATGTTCCCACCCATATATATGTATATCATATCATTGGAACAATACAGAGAAGATGGTGCTCAGTGGTTACCTTCTCATATTGTAAGTTCACATGGCGATAGCCAATGTTCTGCAAGTGCTTGCTAGCTAGAAGAAAGCACAGCTGAGCAAGACTTTTCTAGCAAACTATGTAAAACGACTACTTTTAATACTTCTCTCTCCCAATTCCAATATCAAACCTCTCTCTCTCTCTCTCTCTCTCTCTCTCTCACCTATCCTTTCCATTAAAAAAAAAAACTGATGAGTGAGTGATGACAAATTTCCTCTGTTCGAACCCTCAATTTCTCCCGACGTTGCCCAGAAATGGCCAATTTCACAGAGACGATAATGCTAGCAAAAACTGGAATCGAATTATCAGAGACCAGGCTAAGCTCAAAAATGACGAAGCCATTCTTTCAGCCTATGCCCAGATGGAAGCACACGGCGCGCCTCCTGATAGCTCCACTCTGCCCCTGGTATTCAAGGCTTGCAGCAGGTTGAACGCGGTCGAGAAAGGGAGGAGGATACATGGGGCTATCCAAGATACCCATTTGATTCGAGATGTCCGCGTTCAAACTGCGGTGATTGATTTTTACTGCAAGTGTGGGTTCGTCCAGGAAGCTGACCAAGTGTTCGACGAAATGCGCCAGCGAGACTTGGTGTCCTGGAACGCCATGATAGCTGGGTACGTGGGATGTGGGTACTTCGTGGAGGCAATTGGGTTGTTTAGGATGATGCAGAAGGACGGGTTCCAGCTGAATTCCCGTACATTGGTGCAGCTGCTTCTGGCGTGCAAGGGGGTTTCGGAGCTCAGGTTGGGGAAGGAGATACATGGGTATTGCTTGCGGAATGGCTGTTTTGATCGGGATCCCCATGTGGGCACTGCTCTGGTTGTGTTCTATTTGAACTTTGATGTGGAGGTTTCTGGTCTTGTGTTTGATCTGATGGAGGTGAGGAGCTCTGTGAGTTGGAATGCGATGATGACAGGGTACTTTGATGCAGGGTATCCATTGATGGCCTTGGAGCTTTTTGTTCAGATGCTTATGCTTGGTGTTCAGCTTGATTTCGTTACGACATTGGCTGCTGTTCAAGCCTGCTCCGAATTCGGCTGTCTGAGACTGGGAATGCAAATCCATCAAATGGCTACGAAGTTGGGTAACTGCAGCGATCTGTTCATCCTAAATGCGTTGCTCAACATGTACACCGAGCTCGGAAGTCTTCATTCAGCTTCTAAGATATTTGATAGCACCAGCATCCGCGATGTCGCCTTGTGGAACTCCATGATAGCTGCACATATAGAATACGGTTATCGTGAAGATGCCATTGATTTGTTCACCAGAATGAGAGCAGAAACTAGGGAAGATGCTAGGACATTAGTTATTCTGTTCTCTTCTTGTAGAGCGGCTGTAGATGGCTTGGAAAGTGGTAGATCGTTGCATGCTCATGCATTGAAGCTCGGCATCAGGATGGATGTTGCAGTAGGAAATGCATTGTTAAGTATGTACGCAGACCTGAATCGTCTAGAAGCAGCAAAGCAAGTCTTCTCTGACATGGAAAAGGTTGATGTTGTATCATATAACTATTTGATTTCTGCATTGGCAAGCAACAATTACAAGGATGAAGCTTGGGAGCTATTCGGAGCAATGACAATGCAACAATCAGAAATCATGCCAAACTCTTACACAATGGTGGCTCTGCTTTCTTGTTGTGGAGATGAAACTTATCTCAATGCCGGGCGTTCCATCCATGGTTTAGTGATTAAACGTGGAATTGATATTGATCCAGCATTGAACACTGCTCTTGCTGATACATACATGATTTGCGGCGATGAAGAAACAGCAAGGAATCTATTCGAGGTCTGTTCATGTAGAGACCTTATCTCATGGAACGCTATGATTTCTGCCTACGTGAGAAAAAACCAAACTGATGAGGCTCTATCACTATTGAGCCGTATGATCACTGAGCTAGAGCCAAATTCCATCACCATTATCAACATTCTCTCGGCATGTACCGACCTTGCCAATTTGCCTCGTGGACAGCAAATTCATGCATATGCAGCCCGCAGATTCTCCCCTCTCGAATTCGACCTCTCTCTTGCTAATGCTTTCATCACAATGTATGCAAGATGCGGCAGTCTACAGGGTGCTGAAAACATCTTCAGAACTCTGCAGGAGAGGAATATCATCTCGTGGAACGCCATGATCAGTGGTTATGCCACAAATGGCTCCTCTGATGATGCCATCCAAGCCTTGATGGACATGTTGGAAGAAGGTTTCCAGCCTAATGGCCTGACGTTCTTATCCGTACTGTCTGCCTGCCGCCATGGTGGTTTAATAAGGAAAGGTCTGCAGATTTTCAGTTTCATGGTTCGCGACTTGAAACTAACTCCTCAACTTGCTCACTACGGGTGCATAGTTGATCTACTTGTCCGTGGTGGGTTCTTACAAGAAGCTAGAGAGTTCATCGATTCAATGCCGGCGGAACCTGATGCATCGATCTGGAGAAGTCTACTGAGTGGGTGCAGAATTCATTGTGACCCGGAAATGGCAGCATCAGTTTTCCGAAAGCTAGTCGATCTGGAGCCAATGAATCCAGGAAACTATGTTTTGCTGGCCAACATATATGCTGCAGCAGGGCTTTGGTCTGAGGTTAGGAATGTAAGAGCATTGCTGAAAGAGAAGGGTTTGAAAAAGCCTCCAGGAATTAGTTGGATCATTCTTGGGGGTCAAGTTCACTCTTTTGCTGCAGGAGATACATCACACCCTAATTCTGTTGAGATTTATGCTAATTTGAATTCTTTGTCGGGTATAACCAGTGAATTTGGATGTATGAGTAAACACAATTCTCTGTTCCATGATGAAGAGGGTTACTAGGTTCATATGATCATTCAATTCTTGTAAAAGACTGATCATAAAAATACAGTAAAAACGTTCTACCAGTCACCAAGTCAAAATGCAGATAAATAGACACATCCACTTGCGTGGATTAGGAGCACTTACCGATGAAAAGGTCATGGACCACGAAGTGAGTCGTTTATCAAGCAAACATTCTTCTTCCAGCCACATCTTGTTGGGAGTGGGAGAGTTAGTGAAGCGGGACACGCGAAGAATTGGTCAACAAGAAGGTATGCTCTCTCCATACATCACATCAGCGTGCTAAGCTACCTTGTGCGGACAATGCAAGTACACATATGATCGGCAATGCTCTGCAAGTTCTAGCCACATATGGCCAGCAGAGCGAGCATGACTTTTCGTCTATATGTCATAACTCATAACAGCTGTAGCACATGAAACACAAGGACGTTGGACAGCTGACATTCAACCCAAGCTAAGCTGAAAATTCTTTTTTGATATGAGAATTTTTTTCATGGTTTTCATGTATAAACAGATCAGTTCTTCAGATCAGATTTCCAGGTTTTCCTACAGGGCTAATACTTCAAAGTTCAAATGATAATATAACCTGCATGGTGTATCTTCTGGTTTTTCTTTCAATTGAAGTTGGAAGTATGCTTCATAAAATGGATAATTTTTAAAAGGGAAACATCTTAAAAAATATTAAAGCAGTTTTAGTTTTCACCCCCTGCCACGTACCCCCAACTAAAACGAGAGGCTGTCCACGTCAGCATTTATCTCCACCGCGTCTTTACCTTTTCCCCTTTTGTTTCTGTTTTCTTCGGATGCCCAGGAAATTCCAACCGCCTACAATCTTCTTCTTCCTACATCTGCCAACGGCAAGGATAGCATGTAGCATGTATCTCCACCGTGTTTTGCAGCATATTCAGACTTTACAGGCCACTGAGTAAAGACCCCAAAATCACTGGCTGGCGATTGGCGTTCTCATATACTAACGCCCTCAATCATCGTGGTTCTCCAGGCCAGTTGTTGCGCCAATCCTCCTCCCTGCGACCGCCATCTATTCAACTAGCACTGCGATTTTAACGCCTCTACCTCTCACCGCCCCAGACATCCCCCAGGTTATTTTAATTTCATGCCGACACCTGATTTTTTATTCAATTTCGCCACCCACTCTATTTCCTGCATTACACCATATATATGCTGAATCGATTTCAATTTCCCTTCAGTGACCCTTACTCCGCCCCGCCATTCAATCTTCTAACGTTTTCTTCAAAACCACCAACAACTATCACCTCATCGGGTCTTCAATCTCACCAAGTATGGTCTTGAGGCAAAGGCGCTCAGATTGTTGCGATCAACACGGCCGTTGGCGACACATCAGCGGCATGCAGAGCGACCGAATGTCGGTAATGAAGCGACCAAGGAGCAACCGGTAGAACATGTGTCGACTGAGGCATAAGAGAAGAAATTGTGATTCAAAGAAATAGAATCGGACGATAGAGATGTTCTCACGGAAAAGGGTTCGCGGCAAACAGGGTTCTGGTGGTAATGGTTACCGAAATCAGAAGGGTGTATGTAGAAAACAGAGGACGCAGCGAAGAGCTGGTGGATTTTAGTACAACATGGACATAAGATTCAAAGACACGAGTCGAGACGGGTCAGTGGGTCTTCCGGGTCAAGCTTTCACCTACTGAGAAGAGTTTAAATCGCATCACATTTTGGACAGGACGGGTCGGGACGGGTCTTCCGGGTCAAGCTTTCAACTATTGAGAAGAGTTTAAATCGCATCACACTTTGGAGAAGGAGGAAAGATCGGAGTGGAATAATATAACACACAGTTTCGAATTTCGAGATTTGTTCGAATTTCGAATTTCAATAATTTGAATAATGAGGATGGGAAAAACCTCCAGAAGGCTCGGTGAATAAAGGGGAATAGGCAGATGGATCTTATGACATCAACGTTTCAACCACAATTTAAGGTTGCCAGTTGCCACTAACACCACTAAAAATACAATATTGTGAAAAGAAAAAGCGAATTCACAACTATTTACTACAAACAAACGAGCTAAAAGGACACCAAAGCGGACCATAGATGCAATAACCACACCCGGCCAACCGGCCGGGCAAAGTGCTAGTTAACCTTAAAGGGGATTGATGATATTCGACTTCTGGAAAGACAAAAGAGCCAACCAGAAGGTAGTGGAGCCAACTCTCAACTTTGGCTCCATACTATTGGTTAAAAGTGCATTTCCATTTGTTAATTCTGAAAACCCAAGTCTACAATGCGGTGACTTAACCACCCTGACATAGAACTGCACCAAATCTTTAGAAACTTAAAAGCAGTAGATCTAGCACAAGGGCAAGCAGTGAGAACTGGTAAAGAGTCCGTGAGAAGGACATGCATTATTATTCATCATCGGTTGATCACATGCAGCTGCTTAGACAGGACCTCTAGGCAAAATTCAGGGAGTTGGTCCTAACCCTTCCAATGCAATAAATAAAACTAGATGCCAGTGTTAAGAGTAGAAAGAGCAGAGTATTAAGATTCTAACAATGGATAATATGTTCAACGGTTTTGCTTAGACGCACTAAGAAATGCAAAAAAAAAAAAAAAAAAAAAAACCAAAAATTAATCTGTAAGTATGATCTGTCAGTAGTCGAAATAAGTATAGGAGAGTGTTAAGATTCTATATGCGGAAATCAAGCTCCTATCACAGTAACTTGCAAGGTTCACCCACTACTCGAAAAACAAATACTTTGGAGTGATGCTATCTTAGAGTGACCAAGGAAGAATATTTACCTTTGTACAGTTGCTTTCCATTTATGTTTCAGTTCACGTTTATGGACCATGCATATTGGTCCTCATCTCTGAAGCACACCGTTCAGTCGCTAATGTTTTCCTTTTTTGGTTTCGCCCAAGTAGCTGGTCCGTCCTATGCTCTTGTTTTCCCCACGATAAGGACTGGCTTCCTTTTCTTCGCATAAGCTTACTCCACATGCATCCCAAGTTTGATACTGCCAACCACCAAAGAACAGTGGGCCTTCTGTCACCAAACCATAATGGGCTTCCAGCCAAGAGCTATTGAAAGGACTGCCAAAAAATTGAAGGAAAACTAAATGATTTACTTCTCAGTACAGAGACTTCAAGGGGTTTCTGGTACTGAACTTCAGTTGGTGTGGCAACTCTTTCAGCAATTAGAAAGAGAGTTAATCAACACGTGATTGTTGCCATCTAAAAATACAAAGTATCCAGTTTATCAGAGGGAAAAGTACAATGCAGTTATATGCAGTTGTTACAATAAACGTTGAAAGGACAATAGATATCATGTGGCATGTAACAAGGTTATAAAACATGGTAGCAGACAGTCTGTGTATAGCCAGATACCATTCTTTTCTGAGATGCCGTATCCTCTTTACGGCTAATCTTCAAATACAGAATATAAGGTCTAGTTATTGCAGTTATTCTTAAATAACTTTACATTGTTCTGTCACTTCTGCTGACTAATTCTAGGTAGCAAAACACATCCCCTACTTCCGTCGGCCGGGGTTTGCCTTACATAATTATCTGTTTACCAACTCCTCTGTTAATAGACCACCGTATCCAAGCCATCACAGTAAACTGACACATGGCAACTTTTTCCCTATAAGTTCTCTTTTGCTTCTTTTCCCCCCACACATCCAAACAAAAGCTCCAGAGTATCTATTGTAAGTTATGGAGATTGAACAATCTATCCCTGATGGTGGAGATGGTGGAGCTCAGGGAATTCATTATGGAGGAAGCACAAATGAGGCAGGTGCATCAAAAGAAGGAGATGAAGCAGAGGCTACATACCTTGTGTGGGAAGATATCACAGTTGTCCTTCCTCATTTTGGCAATGGAGCTACAAAGAGGCTGCTTAATAGGATTAGTGGGTACGCTGAGCCTGGTAAGATCAAGGCTATCATTGGTCCCTCCGGGTCAGGAAAATCAACTCTTCTAGATGCATTAGCAGGTTTTTCCCTCTCTTATTCTCATGACTTGCTTATCTGAATACACAAAGACAATGGAAGTCAGCTACAATAACTGTAAAGTCTGTAGTGAACACCACAGAGTTTTTTTTTTTTATTGCTTCATTTACAATTTTAGCACTGAGAAGGCACATGCTTTCTCCAGTTACTCTCGTTTACTTGCTTATCCATGCAAAGGTCAAAATCTTGCAGGAAGACTATCAAGCAATGTTGTCATGTCTGGGAAGATCCTACTTAATGGACGAAAGAAGAAACCCGACTGTACTACTACTGTAAGTTCTTTTATACTATTGTAACTTCTCAAACATCTCTAATTCCATCTAATCTATCTGAAGCCTAAATAATGCGAGCTTAAACTTAATTCTTGTGATCATGTCCTTATAATGTTGTCACTTATTATTCAGGGGTATGTAACATACGAAAATACATTGTTGGGAACTCTCACTGTGCGAGAGACGGTAACATACTCGGCACATTTGAGGCTTCCAAGCACCATGACCAAGAAAGAAATTAATGATATTGCACAAGGAACTATATCAGGAATGGGTCTTCAAGATTGTGCAGATCGTTTACTTGGGAATTGGCATTTAAGAGGCATAAGTAGCGGGGAGAAAAAAAGACTAAGTATTGCACTTGAAATCCTAACTAGGCCTCAACTTTTGTTTCTAGATGAACCCACCACTGGCCTGGACAGTGCATCAGCTTTCTTTGTGGTTCAAACACTAAGAAACATTGCTCAAGATGGAAAAACTGTTATATGTTCTATTCACCAGCCAAGCAGTGAAGTTTTTACACTTTTCGACGAGCTTTGCTTATTGTCTGATGGTGAGGTGATCTATTCTGGAGAAGCAAAAATGGCAGTAGAGGTGCATAGTTCTATGTTAAATATTACTACATGAGTTTTCTTGTTCTTCTTGAAATACTGACCTGAAGTGCTTGCTCGTATAGTTTTTTGCTGAAGCTGGATTCCCATGCCCGATTCGAGCAAATCCATCTGATCATTTCCTGCGTTGCATTAATTCAGACTTTGATCAGATGATAACAACTTTGATAGGACAGCAAAAGGTATGGAAAAGTATATGGATTCAACTGTTTCTATTTGCAAGAGGTGTTGGCTTGCCTTCCTTACATCAAATCGCACAGTTCTAAACCACGGTGTTATTGCTTTCCTTGATTATCGAACATTCAGAATTCAACAGACATGCCCACAGCAGAGATCAAGTCAAAGCTACTCGAGAAATACAGGCTATCAGACTATGCAGCCAAGGAGAGAGCAAGGGTTAAGCAAATGTCAGCTACTGTAAGTACTCCAAACTAGTAATTTCTGAATCTAGCTCCTTTGACTTTGCTTGTAATATCCCAGTATACCTAGGATCAGCCTAGAAGAATGGCATGCTGGCCAGCAAGTAATGATCTAAGTAATCTAAAACAAACATTATCAATAAGTAGTCCTACAACTATACAAAGATGTACATCCAAGTTTAGAGAAAGACATAGCCTTTTAGTTTTAAATGCATTCTCCCCTGAAATCCTTTCTAGTACTCGGACTATAAGCTGAGGAAACTAAAAATGGAAGGAAAATGTAGTTAGTTTTAAATGCATTCTCCCCTGAAAGATATGTGGACTCGATGAACAGATGTGCAATATTTATTCACTGTTGCGACATGAGCATTCTTATCCTTCATGCAGAAAGGAAATGTGATAAAAAGCAAATTTAAGAGACAAGCAAATTGGTGGAAGCAACTTCTCACATTGACAAAGAGATCTTCAGTCAATATGTGGAGAGATTGGGGATACTATAGGGTGAGAATAGGAGTTTACATCACCTTGTCTATAGCTGTTGGTACCATCTTCTTCGACATTGGAAGAAGTAGGGCAGCAGTCTTCGAAAGAGGAGCTTGTGGAGCATTTGTTTCAGGATTTATGACATTTATGTCCATTGGAGGTTTTCCTTCATTCATTGAAGAATTGAAGGTGAATGAGCCGATTCTAAGGATCATGGTAAAGACAAAGAGCTAATACAGTTTTGCTAACCTTTTCCTGCTTTACATCCTGTCTTACACCATGCAGGTTTTCTCTAAAGAAAGATTGGATGGGCATTACGGGGTTGGGATTTACATCATGTCAAACTTCATCTCTTCCTTCCCATACTTGGCTCTCATGTCACTCTCTACAGCAAGTATTACCTACTACATGGTGAAATTCCGAACGGAATTTTCTCGGTTTGTTTACGTCTGCCTACTTCTGATAAGTGGTATAGCAGCTGTAGAGAGCTGCATGATGGCTATAGCTTCACTAGTTCCCAACTTCTTGATGGGAGTCATCATTGGAGCTGGATATATTGTGAGGAAGACTGCCCTATAGTTTATAGTTTATACTACCAAATACATACAATCACCCATTTGATAAGTGTCTCGACTCATTCACATTCATCCATTGGCTACCTGCAGGGGATACTAGCGATGACTGCAGGTTACTTCCGTTTTTTTCCCGATCTTCCTAAGGTTTTCTGGCAGTACCCAATGTCTTACCTGAATTATGCTGCATGGGCATTACAGGTACTTCAAAGTGAAGTAAAATCTTTCAAATACGTCATGCAAGCCTATTCTTACTTCATAGATATACATCTATAACATGAAATGCAGGGAGCATTTAAAAATGACATGATTGGACTGGAGATAGATCCCCTGGTACCTGGTGGTCCGAAGCTGAAAGGTGAAGCATATCTCACAAGAGTGCTTGGCATTAACGTTCGGCATTCGAAATGGTGGGACTTAGCTGCTGTCGTAGCCACCATCATAGCTTATAGGCTCATCTTCTATGCTGTTCTCAAGTTGAAGGAAAGAACTTTACATATGATAAGGAAGCTTTATGCCAAAAGAATGCTACATCAGCTCAAGAAGATGCCATCTTTTAGGAAGAATTCGCGGTTCCCTTCAAAGAGACATCAGGCACTCCATTCTTTGATTTCTCAGGAGGGTTTAGACTCTCCCATTTGATAGCACCAGGGCCAAGAAACAATTAGCAATGGGAGAACTGGCCTACCAAATGAACCACAAGCATGGTTCCGGGTAGGTGGACAAAGATGTTGAACAAATGTATCAGGAAATAAGGAAACACAGTCAGTCAAATTTCTTTTTTCATGAACAGTAGGTTTACAAAGGTCTTTGCATAAGATCAGTCCCATTACTTAAATGAAATCCACTAGTCCTTCGGCTATACAATTGCTCAGTAACCAACCACATGAACAGTTCTCAAATGTTACCTTTAATAAACAAGATATGTATGGTCTGATAAGCACATTGACACTGGGGAAACAAACTATCCCGCTCTTAATCAAGAGCATAACAGAGCGAGGGAGTCGCACAACAGAAGAGGAGAGGGCAATATGCATTTCATTTTGTCACGGGTCAGTAAAGATGCAACTAAATTCACACGAAAGTGAGACGGAAGATTTGCAAAATCCAGAAAACAAAGAAGCATATTGATATTGAAGAAAAAACACACAGATTACGTAGTACATAACTCATAATATATAAACATGACATGAATAATCTGATAAGTTGCTTGATCGCCGTTGAAAAAATACCATAAAACTCATCAGAAGTATTCAGACTTGTTTTATAAGAACAATAAACTAACTAATATCGTGAAATCAAATGTCATCAGCCAGCCTCATTCCAATTGCTTCATATTTCACAAGGAAAATCGCTCTTCTTTAGTCATTCTAGAAATGTAGAGTTTACATAAGATGTTTTGTTAGACATTTCTAATTTGACATCTAGAGTGCCAACTAGTGAAACCAAAAACCAATGTGGTAAGCATCAATGAGACTGCGTACTACTGTTTCTCCTCATTGGGCGTGCCACTGTCAACACGAGCATCAAACCCATGATAAGGAACTTCAATCATGGGCCTTGGCATGGGACGCCCACCAAAATCCTCTGGGAAAAAATTGAAGTCTGGGCCAAAATTAAACCTTACAACACAATTTGGTTGATTCGGAAGCGTGTACATTGATGCAGCAGGGTAGTAGCGCCCACCGTATAGATCCTTGAATGCAACCCCTTGACATATGCCATTCTTGAAAAATGATATCTCACTTCCTGCACCACGAGAAAGAGTATACGTAAGTGAAGAATGAATGTTGAACCATACAGCAAAGAATCCAAATGATCCAGCCTCAGCGGGCACAAAACTTGCTAACAACAAGGTAGAGTTTCAGCCAAGTTGGCACCAATCCGGTGTGCGACATGAAATTCGCAATCCACCATATGCCTCTACATTTAAACAAAGAAGCTTTCCTGAGCAATTCAAGGAATGAAATTGAAATGAACAGAAAATACAGCACTCTGTTTAATCTGTTTGACAACTAAATCATCCAAATGGAAACAGAAGCAAAAGGAAATTAAGAATATTAAATCACAGGAACATCTTAGCGGGAAGCTCATTGGTCTTCGTACGAAGCTCATACGTCTTACAGGCCATAAGAGTGAGGCTTCTACTATGCGTGTAATATAATCTCAGATAAGCAAGCATATAAACGAATGATTACAGACAAGTCCATAAGAGAAACTCACCCGGCACAATCTTAGGAGGATCCTCCTTGGCATCTGGAGCACATAAATACCTCTGTCCTTTATACCAAACCAAACGAGGTGGCTTAGGAGCATATGAACCACCATCGGGCAAGTTAATATAGAACCCAATGACATCCCCTTCTTTGTACCCTTCTTCCCCATACTTCTCCCTCAATGCCTTATGAATCTTACTACCATCAATATCTCTATACCCAAAACTGTTCCCATCATAGCCAACCGGCGCCTGCAAGTCCCCTTTCTCAGTAGACCACCCGAGCCGCGTATGCCCAGTCTCTCCCAGACTCTCAACCTTGGTCTCGAAGTACCAAGCACCTTCACAAACCCCTCTAGTTGCCCTCGCCATTCTGTAACCCTTGGAGCTCCCAGCGCTCAACCTGTCCTCGCTCACCTCTACTTTCTCCGCCTTGTACGCCTTGGACAAGCAAATTGCCATCTCCGGAGAATCATCGTTCTTGTCCGGGAACCTGGGGACGGGAGTGATCGACACGGTGTCCTCCGTGGGCGTGCTCTGCGGGTTCGGCTTCGCCTTCTTCTTCCCCTTCCGAGTGGACCTCGTCGACCAGACATTGTTATTGCTCTTCTTCTTCGACTTCTTCTTCACGGCGGATTGCGTAGTAGCTGCTGCAGCTGCAGCAGCGGATGGAGGAGCTTTCGCCTCCTCCTCGACGCTCCCGTTCTCGCCGTTGGCTGCTCCATTTCCATTGGAAATTTCCTCCACCGGCGTCATCGCCTCCGGTTGCAGCTGCTGCTCCTCTTCTTCTGCTTCTTCCTCTTCCTTTACCTCCACCTGTTTATGCTTCTTACTCGGCCGGCCCTCTTCCTCCGCCTCCTCCTCCTCTTCTTCCATCACCACTGGCTTCTCCGTATCGTTGGAAGTCGTAGGGTCCGATTCCGACTGCGATTCGGAGGCGGAAGCCCCAACCGCGACTTTCTGCTGCTTGTTCGTCGTAGCCGCGTCGGGCTCGGGAAATGAAAGAAGCCCAATTGCAGCGGGAGGAGGAACTGGCGGCCGAGGAGGGAGGAGAGGATTGTGGTCCAGGACGGGGGCGGCGGTGGCGGCAGCGGGAGATAGCCGTACTCCTTCCTCCTCCCCCTCCGTCACTTCTCCCTCGCTTCTGTAGGTGGAATGAAGGGAATCCATGGGATACGATTTCGTCTACGGAAAAACCTAATTGAAGATACGAACCGGACAAAGACGGAGACGCGATGAGTGGAACGGTTCGTCGGAGGACAAACGAGCGAAATAACTCTAGTGCCGCGGCAGCTCTTTCTCACCGGAGCGGAACTACACCAGCCGAGCGGGAGAAAGAGAGAGAGAGAGACTTCCAATTTTCACTGCTAAGGACTAGGGAGGAAAGGGGAAAGTAAATTGCTTGGTGGGCTCAGGCCCGTCTTTTGTTAAGAAAAAGATTTATGGAAGAGATGGCTTCAGGCCCAGGCCCAGGAGCTTGTTTACTGTAAAAAGCTAAAAAATTCAATCAAAATTCAGAACCCCTTCCTACGTTGATTCCATCATAAAATGGATTAAGGAATAAGGACTGGCTTCTAATTACTCCCGCCAAAGTTTCTGTCCTATTGGCGGTGGGGGCTACTTTACACAATAGTCACTTAACTTTATGGTCATCTACCTAACGGTCATATAACTTTGTGGTCAAAGAAGTGATATGATTTTATTTTATCGTTGATATGTACAATTGTAATACGTATAATTGGATGGTACGGTATAAAAATATCGGTTCTTATTATTGTATTAAACATCTACAAAATGTAGATATTCCAAAATATATCATTTAAAATTAAAAAATAATGAAAATACAGATGAAATAAAAGATTATATCTTCTGAATTATTATACCAAAGCTTAGTTACAAATACACTAAATTAAACGGTTTTGGGCAATACCCATGACCTCATATAGCAACCAAAAGTTCAATTCGAAATCTAGAATATCAAACTTACGAAAGCCTAAACTAGAGGACTGAGCATTGTTGGCAAGATATTTTGCTGCTTTATTACATTCTATGTATGTGTGGGATATGCACACCTCCCAAATTCATTTCATAATCTCCTTAAACTAGTAAATGAGATTGAAGTACCTCGTTTGTCCAATTTTATCACACTCATCTAAGAATACGTTACATCACTAATTCTCTGGATTTAATGTCATTTTGAGCATGTTCATAGTGGATTAAATCAACATTCTCAAACACCTTTAGGGTGGGGGTGGGGGGAATCCTAGCTTATCGATTTTTTAATCATCATTTCCTTTAAAATGATATACGACTGATATGAGGAAATCGATCAATTTGTAGAGAGAATAGTTCATCTTAACGTGCATTCCTACTAATTTATGTGATCATTCGTAAACATAAAACATTAATGAATATCCTATCAGCTAGAAATGTTGTGAATTGTTATGATTCATGATATACAGAAAATCAATCACCTTAATCACAAACAAGAACAAAACTTGTCATTTGTTGACTTTGCAAAGAGGAAACTTAATTTGGCATGGAAAGAACCAACAACGGCTCTGTCCACCCGCCGTTGACCCGTAGTAAGATACCCAGCAACCAAACATGGCGCAAGCCGTAAAGGAGACACCTTTTCCCCAGTTCCCACCACAACCCATAAATGGAAAAACAAAAGGGAGAACAAAAACAGAGTAATTGAATCAATCAATCCATCAAATCTGATCAAATCGCCGGCCACTTACCGTTCCCACTTCCCACGTGCGTGCCGCCGGCGCGAAGAATGGCGGGTATCTTCAACGGGAGATTTCTTTTTCTGGTTCAGTTAATTCGAAGAATTTCAGATGAAAATTATTGAATTTAAGTAAAAAAAAAAATTAAAGAGCTTGATTTTCCATTTAAGCAATCGTAAGCCATCTCTGACTTTGCCACGCGTTTTTTCTAAAGCACAGGGTCCCGCAGGAAAATCTCACTTCTTATTTTCTTCCTTTCTCTTACGCCGCCGCTTGCGGCCGTTGGTCGATGGACGTGGGACAATGGCTACAACCCATCAATTCCCTCCTACCTAACCTTCTTCTTGACCCGATTGTATTTCATCAGCAGCGAAAAAGTCCCCATTTTTATGTTCTGTGAAGAATTTTCGGCCCTTTATAAGAGAGGAATCTCCATCCTTGTTCTCTTCTCTCTCTCGATTCCACTGTCGTCGTTATACGTTCGCCTTCTCTGTGTTTCGGTTTGATTTCAAATCTGTGAACTCAGTCATGGCTCCCAGCAAGCCCAATTCCACTGTAATTCCTTTCTCCTTGTCTTTCTGATTTTCCTTATGTATTGGGTTCGTTGAATTCTGCTGAGATGATCGGTTTGGTTTCGTGTACCATTGGGTTTTTTATTGGCTTTCGAATTGGGTAGTTTAATCTGTTCTTTGCCATAGCTTTCTGAAAGTTGAATCGGAGTTTGCTAGCTTGTTGCCTAGCTGATTGAGTCGACGGAGAGTGTGTGTGGGAGATGCTTAAAGGTCTTAGCTTTTGATTTGGAAGAGTTAATGGCAGGGTTTTTCCCCTTGATCATCAGAATTAGAGTAGTGTGGCTGGAATGAATGTTGTAGAGATTCATTCCTCTGGTTTCCAACGATCCTGGTTAGGTTTTCGAATCCGTGAATCTGCTTGTTGTTCATTTGGAGCTTGAAGCTCATTTACTTGGTGCCTGGTGGACTTTAGTGATTTGTGTGATATGTAATTTGATCTCTCCCTGACTTAGGCGCTTGAAACTTATCTTGTTTCTGTTAATGTAGGTTGCTTCTGGTGATGCCAATGTCCCATGCTCACGTCCTGAAAACGGAGTCAGCGAATTTAGTGATTCACTGTCGCTGTTCCATTCGGAGAAGGCAGTGCAGGAGCTTCTTCAGCAGACTCCAATCCTAGGCACTGATGATCATCTTATAGAGTTTTCTGAGGCTCTAAGAAGTAGGCATCAAGACTTCCCGTTTTCAATTTTCCTTCTAGTACAAGTATACGGAGATGTAATTATGATATGGTTTTTGCACAATAGCTGTTGCGAAGGCATTGAGACGAGCAGCTGAAGGAAAGGCTTCAGCTCAGGCCGAAGCTGCTGAATGGAAGCGTCGATATGAACTGGAGATGGCTCGTAATCATAAAGGTTTTTTGAATGGTTAAATCACTTGCTTAGTTGCCCCATGCATATGTACTTTGGTAATGAATTAGGCTTACATCCGAATTTCTTCTATGAGAACTATCCAATGGAACATTAGACACTGTTGGAAGATCTTCTGTGCTAACCTAGATTTACAAATACTCAGGCTTAACAATATTGTACTGACTACCACCTAACTTCATGCCTGTGTTAGTCCATTAAAACGATGCAATACAAGGGGATTTCGTTGCTCTTCAAGAACACCAGCATACTTATAGAAATTCCCTAGCTGTTAGTCGCTGAAGTGTCTGTTTGCTGAATTCATGATGACAGCATACCATTTTGTCTGTTGTTGCTGAGGCAGAGATATAATGGAGATGTTTTTAGTAATGGTTAATAATAACATATATGCAACCGGTGTCAGAGTGATATGAATGGAATTTAAGGTGATCATTTCAGTATTTAGTGAAGTGCCTCAATAATATACTTATTCATCTCTAATTGATCATTCTTTTTTCTTGAATCGGAATTTTATAATCTTTCTGAGGCTTTATTTCTCTTCCTCCATCAAGTCTGTTGATATTTCATATTTTCTTTTCCTTTGGATTTTCATGTATTGATAAACGAATACTTGGATTAATTTAGCTAATCAAAATTTGGACTCATTATATCAGATTATGGCTATTCCAATATCAGGCTCCAGTTTCTGTGAAATGCTTCAAAGATGGACTCCAACATCTGCTTTTAGTGCCATCGACATGATAAGAATAGCGTTTCCCTGTGTTTTTTGCCGCAAAGTTTTGAAAGAACAAAATAGGAGTTTTTCTGAAGGTATTTTGCTTTTGCTTTCAATGAAACCACATTACTCATTTTCATCACAAGAATCGTGTCATTATCTGTTTTTGCATAGTGGTTATTAATTTGTGAAAGTAAACATTTAAATAACTCCTAGAATGCATAGTTTTCAAGTTTCAACCATCAGCATTAGGGATGCTGCTTCACTGGAAAAAGATGTTATGAACTTCTGTAACTTCTTTTATGCTAAAGATATAATACTCTTCTTCTGTTCTGATAGGTTTACTGATGGTAGGATTTTATGAGATATGTTTGATCGACTATGTAGATATCCTACCTGCACTCTTCTCTACAGAACATTGCCTTCTGATGTAACTTCAACTAACAATTACCTTTAACCTTACTCCTTCCCCCCTCTTTTTTGGATGGAATCTTCTTGATCTCTTGTGGCAATGACTCTTGGAAGTATATTCTCTTAGTGTAGGTCCTAACTTGAGAGATGAACTCCAACCAAGAGAGAACATATGCCAACTTTGAAATGAATGTTTGATCTATAACATGGTCTGTCCATTGCTTTTTCTTCCTCCTCTCTATAGTAATGAGTTCCACAGGTTGTACTGCAGAAACATCTCACCGGGAGCAGTATAATGATATTGATTGTCAAAGACCAGAAACCTCAACCAACCTATCTGGAACAGGAAATCAGACAAACGGAAAATCTGAAGACTTCTTGGTAAATGGTATTTGCTCTCACCAAATTCTACAGGATGGAGCGGCCAGCCCTGAAGCAAAAGCAGTTCAAAACAGAATGATGAGAAAGGTAATTCATTTTGGGTTCTCTAGGCTGATTGATATTACAATTTTTTTTTTGGGTGTGACTGCCTTTTAATTGTAGCATAATAATTGTTGTCTGGGTCAACTCATTTGATGATTGAACTGAGAATTCGAGATAATCTATCCTAAGATAATTTTAGAGCAATGAAGATACCTAATTCAGTCGTCCAAATTTCTACCCTGAAACAGGCATCTTTCAAGCTTTCCTGGTGGTGCAAGGGTGATAATGGCGATCAGCACAAACACGATATTGTATCATTTGAAAAAGGAAACATCACAACTGCAGGGCGCACCAGTAAGCAGGTATTATTTCTTGCTCTCCGATATTGGATTTGATTGAATTAAGTTGTTAGAGTCAGTAGTATGTTGCCCTCATAAAACCATGTACAATATCTATAAATACGGGATACTGATTAGTACTTACATAGTTACATGCAGTACGTGAAACTGTCACTTTTTCAGGATTTTCCACGTACTTATTTGTGTACATTCTCATTTATATGGATCTGAATGGCAACAACACCTTGTTTTGTTTTCAGATTTCTTTGAAGTGGGAGTCCAACCCACAGACTGTGCTTATTTTGACCAAACCAAATTCGGTTTCTGTTCGCATTCTATGTGCACAAATGGTCAGGTCTGAATACATGCTTTCCTCTTTGTTAAGCATTTTGAGTTTCGAAAACTTATATTTTCCTGCTCTCATTGCTGCATCAGTATGTTTTCTGTTGATGTGCTAGGATTCTAATCTCTTGACTTGTATTCTCCAACTCCTGCATCATATTTTTAGTATTATCTGGAGCTTCGTTCAAGCGATAATCTCTGCTAAGAATTGGCTTGTTAGCTAACATTTGATACTTGTCTGACGAGATGACACCCCAAGTTAAAATTAGGTTTCCAGAGTGACCTGCAAGTCCAGTGCCTTCGAAATGATAAAAGTTGACTTTATTTTATGAGCAATTAGTCAAATATCATGAGGTGTAATTTGTTTTTGGTTAGAGATGGCTATCTCGATTGTATTCTCCTGTCTTATCAAAATTGTGACCATTTTTTCTGGAGGTTTCATTTTTACTGAAGTTTTTTTCTGGTTTAAAAGACTGTAAGCCAAACAGAAATCTTTTCCTGTCTCTGATTTTTATATTGTCAATATCCAGATGGTTGAAAGAGCATCAGAAGTTGAATATTTTTGTCGAACCACGAGTGATCTCTGAACTTCTGGCTGAATCATCTTATTTCAACTTCGTGCAGACTTGGAAAGATGGTGAGCCCCTGCTGTTTTACTTCCCTTCCATATTGTCAAACACTTGTTTGGTAATCTTACAGCTAGTTGTTTCAAGCATTCTGAATCTTAAAAGCTTTATGGGACCATCTTTCTTTATCATGCCTAAGATTTGTTGGGATTTTTCACTGAACACGTGTGTGTCAGCCTCATGATTTGAGTCCTTTGGGTTTTGATATTCGAATATCCAGATTCAGAAATTTCACGCCTGCACTCAAAGGTTGACCTTGTGGTAACTCTTGGTGGTGATGGCACTGTTCTTTGGGTAAGTCTTGTTTACCTTTTTACATAATATATCTGTACTTGCCCGTTCCATTTTAATCGTTATAATTGATATATCATTCATCCTCTTTATTTGCAGGCTGCGTCAATGTTCAAAGGACCAGTCCCTCCTATCGTCCCATTCTCTTTAGGCTCTCTTGGCTTCATGACACCATTCCGTATCCTTTTACATTGATTACTTAGTCAACTATCAAAGCTCATCTAAAGACGGACAAAAAACGGTCACTTTTGGGTACTTGACATTATCATTTCTAGATAGTGAGCACTACAGGGATTGCCTAGATTCTATTCTGAGGGGTCCAGTCAGCATAACACTGCGGCACAGGCTGCAGTGCTATGTCATTAGAGATGCAGCTAAGAACGAATACGAGACTGAGGAACCGATACTCGTGCTTAACGAGGTAACAATTGACCGCGGGATATCGTCGTACCTCACGAATCTGGAATGCTACTGTGACAACTCATTTGTCACGACTGTTCAAGGAGACGGTTTGATTTTATCCACTACATCTGGAAGCACTGCATACTCGTTGGCAGCTGGAGGATCAATGGTTCACCCGCAGGTATACACATAAATTCGCCACTTGGAAATTTTCAGTTCATTCTATCTTGAGGGCAGATGAGGGGTGAATCGTAAATCTATTTATTGATCTGGTGTCTTCCAATTTGCAGGTTCCTGGGATTCTGTTCACACCAATTTGCCCGCATTCCTTGTCATTTCGGCCTCTGATACTTCCAGAGAACGTCACTGTACGAGTGCAAGTTCCTTTCAATAGCAGGAGCCCTGCTTGGGCATCCTTTGACGGGAAGGACAGGAAACAGCTGGCAGCTGGCGATGCTCTTGTGTGCAGCATGGCGCCCTGGCCTGTCCCCACTGCCTGTTCCGCGGATTCCACGGGAGACTTCCTTCGCAGCATCCATGAGGGACTCCATTGGAACTTGAGAAAAACTCAGTCTTTCGATGGGCCACGGGAATCATGAGATCAGTAAGTTAGTTAAATGTTCGATATTTTTAATTATCATGATTATGATGATGAAAAGAATGTAGGAGGAAATGAGAAGGATATCGAACTGGCGACTGGATTTGTTAGGTCTGTAATGTAGAGAATAGAGCTCACAGTTTATTAAAATACGTAGAATTGTAACGTAGAGAGGAAGCGAAATAAGATTGATATTTGGATTTCTTACATCTTGTGTACAGAAACTCCTTTGCAGCAATTCATCCTGTTTTCAAGGTCTCGATTTCGGAACGCTTCTGCAGTCCGGTGTTGTGGCCGATTTGGGAAAATTGTACTTTGTTGAGATGGAATATTTGCATATGAACAATCCTATTGAGAAGATTCTGTCTGTGAGATTGGTATGGTTGTTGGATATGCAAACATTCGACAACAGCACAAAATCGATAGCAGGATAGCCTGGCCCAAGTATCTAGCCCGGTCCAACATCTATTTGGCTTTCCTTGTCATTCACGTGATCGATTCACGCCTTCCTCTCCTGCTAAGCAAAGCAGCAGCAAGATGCAGGTTTTAGTTTAGCCATTAAACCGTTTAAGTTCCCTCCCCAATTGATTACTATAACAAACTAAACTTGCAAAGTTCATAACGGTCATTCACTATCCCACAAGCTGCACAGAAAGCATTCCATAGAGACTCTCGTGATTATTTGATTCCTCACCCAGCTTCACATTGTCCATAATGCTGTAGACATACAGTACTCATTTCATGTCCCTCCTTCCTTGATCTTCAAGTTAGGGTTTTGGAGAATGTTTCATGATATTTTTATATTGTTCCCCTTTTACCCTAGTTATTATATCAATTCTAGTTACCCTTCTGTTACAACCGGCCAAACCTCTTATCTAAGTCAAGCTAAACCAACCCTTTCCCTTGTTGGATCAATAGAATACATTTTCAACTTCTTTCAGCACACAATGCAGCAGAAGTACTTTCACCAGTTCCATCTTGATGTCCTGTGCAAAAGCATATTCCTTTCAGGGCTACTGCTCTTCTTGCTCTACACCTTATTGTTCCATAACCATGCTAACACTACTACTATCCTTCCTCTTCTAACCCTTCCTCACAAATGGAGCACTAGTAGTGATGGTGGTGGTGGTGGTAGTAGGGCTTCTCTTCCATCGGATCGAGCCGATCTTTCACCAATTGATATCAGCCACGTGGGATTTGTCGTGATCGGCTCCTTACGCACCTGGAGATGGAGAAAGCACTACATAGAGTCATGGTGGAAACCAAACATAACGAGAGGTAACGACTTCGGTTTAAAAAACCAACATAAACAATGGGATTTTTTTTTTCTTAATCAGAAAGATTTTGAACTGATTCTCTTGCCATGTGAAGGTTATGTATTCTTAGACAAGGAGCCCACGCCAGAGTTCCTACCATGGCCCGCCACCTCCCCACCATACCGAGTGAGTAGCAATTTCACCAACCTAAAGGTCTACCCGAAACTTGTCAACTCGTCTCAGGTCCGAATGGTTCGAGCCATCCTCGACATGTATCGACAGGGTGATCAGGCTAACAAAGGGCTGAGGTGGTTCATGGTGTGCGACGATGACACATTGGTGTTTGTGGATAACTTGGTGGAGGTTCTAAGCAAGTTTGATCACACCAAGTACCACTACATTGGAGGCAACTCCGAGAGTGTGAGGTCCAATGCCGACTTCTCATTCGACATGGGGTTCGGTGGAGCTGGCTATGCATTGAGCTGGCCTTTAGTCGAGGCACTGTCGAACAAGCTTGATGGTTGCATCGAGAGGTACACTCGAGTGTTCTCTAGTGACCATCTGGTTCAGTCTTGTTTGGCTGATCTTGGAGTTGCTGTAGCTCATCAGAAGGGGATTCACCAGGTGAAGTATGCTTAAGTTCCATGTTTTCAATCCATCATTTTTTCTTTTCTTCATACAGCCTTCTAGTATCTAACAGAAGCTCCAACCAGTGCAGATTGATCTCCATGGCGATATCTCAGGCTTTCTATCGACTCACCCACAAGCCCCTTTGGTAACCCTCCACCACTTCGACATGATAGATCCGATCTTCCCATCCATGGACCGCCCTCGAGCCATTCGACACCTCATGAAAGCAGCAGAAGTGGACCAATCTCGTCTCACTCAGCAGACTATCTGCTATCACAGGCAGAGCAACTGGTCTATCTCGGTTTCCTGGGGCTACTCTGCTTACATATACGAGAACATCATCCCGAGAAGCACGTTGATCAAGCCCCTCGAGACGTTCAAGGCATGGGTTAGGAACACTAAGTACCCGGCTTTCATGTTCAACACGAGGTGGCCGAATGGCAACGCTTGTGAGTCCCCCCACGTGTTCTACTTCCAGTCTGTCGACGACTGGAAGGAGAACAAGAACGCGTCTGAAATAGGAGGGGACCAGGTCGTCACTACATATGCTCGAAAGTGGCCAGCTAACTTGCAGCCTTGTGAGTTGGCCGGGAACCACTCTGCCAGTCGTGTCGATGAGATTCGGGTGGTTTCTCCAGGGAGGACTCGGAAGATGGTGAGTTTGGACCCTGTTCTGTTCTTTAGATATTCAAGTGTGTTCTTTTTCCCCCTGACATGAAGTTGATTCTTTCTGTGTTTTTATTCTTCCCAGGCTGGTGTGATGGAATGTTGTGACGTTGATCACAAGGTTGGAACTACTGTCGTGGGTGTCACGATAAGGAGTTGCCAGAAAGATGAAGTCATTGCCTAGAAATGCCTCGATCACCACCTGAAAGAAGAATGCTGTTGAAACAAAGAACTAAGTGAGCTGTTTCTGGGTACGTTACGGTTAACCTACCCTGCTAGCTAGCGACTCCTAATGCATGATCTGAGCTTATGAAATGGGTTCAGCACTCAACTTACCTGCAACTCAACTGTAAAGAAATCAACCAATGGTGACAGCCATATTATCAATGGGAAAAAAGGAAATGCACCAAATCCTTGTGTTATTGTACTTCATATATAACCTTTTGCTCCAACTCCAACCATCAAACCGAACAATTCAGGGTGTCTGAAATCAATACACTCAAATTATCATGAGAATGATAAAAAAAAGCAAAACAAGTGGATGAGCCGAAAAAACCAAATATCAACTACGAGCCTGATCGACTAATTTCAGGCGTATACGAACTCCCAAAAGCAATGCCTCCTCCCGGGGGGAAATGCCAATTCATATATAACCTACTTTCTTCATGCTCTACACTAACATGGGCGGTCAAGCAAAGTAAAAAAAGTTCCACACAAGGTTCTGAGCTCTTGCATTTGCCTAAGCCAGTTCATTATGCTCTTCTTGAGCCTTCTGGATACCGATCATCCGAGCATAATCCACCCACCTGGGTCAAAATAAGTTGAATCATCATGAGAATAATGAATAGATGCGCGAGAAGCTTGCCGGAGAGTTATACAAGGATGGAAACTTACAATAGTGAGCCCAAGTAAGTGTTTCCTGTTCGAACAGCGAAACAGATTGCACTGAGCATGAGCTTGTGTTGGTGGAGTAAAGGCTCCAAGATTCGTTGTTCGATAACGCCAGCCAATATTTGGTACCTGCACCATAGAATCATTCTCTCATGTGAATCTAGTAGCTGACCGATGACAACTTTCACATCCATTACTAGTTCCTATGTAAAAATGAGGAAATGGAAGGAAGAAATCATATGTTAACGAACCTGAGGTTGCTAGAAATTGCCATGTAGACACCATAGCCAACACTGGTGGAGAGTATAGGCACATTTTCAACTTCACCAGTACTGTCCACAGCCTTCTTTGCATTGATCAGTGCATTTGTTACCACTGTCCCAATCTGAAACCATTTAGGGCATCAAAATCAGAGTTAAGTGAATATGTGATCTATGAATTTCACAAGGAAAACGGACAGATGAGAGTTCTGTTCTAAGTTTGCTCCTGGTCAGTTCTAATCTCTTGCAATATTTTTCAATGAACTAATTTTGCAGCAGATTTTGCCATACTAATGACCCTCAAAAAGTGTTGTCTCCCACCAAACAGTTTTCAACACTTCATAGAGAAGTGACTAGGTTACAAAATTGCTCCAGGCGATGTAAAAGAGCAGGAAAAAAACCGACATCTAAGCAAACAAAAAGATTACCAGGGAAGATGCAGTGCCAACAGCGAAGAGCTTTGTTCCGTTTCGCTGTAAAATGGAGAGACATAGAGTGTGAAGTACTGATAACAAAGACTGATAAGCATTGACAGGAAACCAAGTTGAAACTCGGGCAAAAAAAGTAAATTTTCTTTACCACAACTGAGCCTAGTCTCTGCACAAATGAATACGAAGTTCCAGCAAGAGCAGTCTGCAGAGCAAAAGAGAAAGAAGAATCCTTTAAATTTCTTTCATCATTCAACTCAATAAGCTGGCAAGAGACAATACAGTTAAGCCTTCTGTTTTACCTGGAAAGCATTGTCAGGGCAACCATAGAAGAACCTTGCAACAGGTCCAGCAGTTCCTGCAAGAGCTGGTCTGAGAGAGACGGTAGGAGCGGGAAGGAAAACAAGCATGAAATCTGCACAAATGGCCATCACCTAATACGCAAAATGTACACAACTTGAGTGAGAGATGAATCCTTAAAGCAACTAGATCATCCCAAAAACATAATTCTTCTCAGTGGAGAGCCACTAACCACATCAGCAAACACAATTTCCAGCTCCTTGAAGAAATTCTCTCTGCGTTTCTCGTACTCTGCAGCAGTCTAACCGCCGGGCGTATTCCAAAAAGGGGTAAACAAATGAACAAAAGGTTAAAACTTTCAGCAAGAATTGACAGTTAAACTGAACAATGGTAAAAATCTTTTGACAGAACATTAACTAAGCAATGCATGAGGGCCAATTTCAACCAATGATCGGCACATCCCAGTTGAAAAAGATGCGAGCTTTGGCCAAATGGCCAAACAGGGTGAAAAGCTTGGCAACGACAATGAAAAAGCAGAATCCAGATTGACGATTTGACACTACAACGAGAAAAAAGCAGAAACCAGAAACAGAGCAATGATGAAAAGGGCTTTCTCAATTGAACAAAAACAAAACAGTTGGACTCCACAGCTACAACAGATCGCCGATTCCCTTTTTTTTTTTTTTTTACCTTAGTGAAGATGCCGACGCCGCACTCAATCCCGATTTTGGCCAAGAACAGATCATCCGCCAGCAACCGCTCCTTAAACGCACCGAACTGAAGCAGCCATCGCATCATCCCCGACTTCTCCAACTCCAAAAACCTCGAAACCACCGCCCCGGGAATCCTCCCCTCCTGGATCGCCACCGCCAGGTCCTTCGGCAGGCTCTCCAGCAACCTCCCCGCCTCCGCCAGCACCATCATCGCCTCTACCCTGTTCTTGTCCCCTGCATTGTCCCCATCAGAGGGAAATACCTCCCCTCCGTCGTCGTCCCCTCCCCCGCCGCCGCCGGAGGGAGGGAACCGGTTGATCCCGCCGTCGTCGCCGCCGCCGAGCGAGACGGAAGGAACAAACAGAGGCAGAAGGCCTTGTCGATTGGTGAGATGCCGGAAGGAAACAGGGGAGGAGGAGGAGGAGGAGCTGAGGCGTAGGGTTTGGAAAGGGGAGGGGGATTGGAACGAAGGGAGGTGGATACGGGGTTTGGCGGCGGCGGAGGAGGAGAGGGAGCCGGCGGCGAGGAAGCAGGCGGCCATCGCCATTAAATTGGGGAAAGCAGAGATTTTTTTGGTTTAGGGGGAAAGTGAAAAAGAGGTTTGCTTTTATTGAGTGTTGGTTTGGTCTGAAACTGTGGAAGGGAGGAAGGGGAAGGGAAGGAAGTCGTTGGGTCGTCTTCCTTTTCTGCTGCTGCGCTGTGGGCTGGCCGAGAGCTTGCGAATTGCGATGCGAGCTAATTATACTCTGTTTTTGCCTATTTTGCTGTTGGTTTTTCGGTTGGTTTTAGCGCCCTAGGGGTTTTGGCTTTTGTCGTTTACTTCTTACCTGTGTTGTTTGTCCGGGCCTTTGGGCCAATGAATTGGGTGGGTTGCAAAAAGAAGTTACGTTTTGGTACCTAAAATTAGTTCGTACTTTCAAACAATGTATAGAAAGTGTAACGAAGCATGCATTTTCTATGTTATTTGTAGCTAAACTCATATATGTTTTTACCATAACGGTGTGTGTATGCTAGTTGGCTAGAGACCATGACTTGCTTTTCTTTCACTAGTGCAGTTATGTGTATCTATTTCGTTGAGATTCAACCTCATGAGCATAGTACTTACCAAACACGTATTAGGTTTCAATAATCGTATAGTCATGTTTTCCTTCTATGATGGAGTTTTCATGATTTTACAAAGTTTTTTGACATGTCTAAAGGAATGATGATTTCTCCACTTTCATCTCAGGTAATCTATTGGTGAGCGAGACGGAAGGAACGAACAGAGGGAGAAGGTCGTGTCGATTGGTGAGATGGCGGAAGAAAATAGGGGAGGAAAAGGAGGAGGAGCTGAGGCGTAGGGTTTGAAAAGGGGAAGGGGATTGGAATGAAGGGAGGTGGATGCGGGGTCTGGCGGCGGAGGAGAAAAGGGAGCCGGCGGCAAGGAAGCAGGCAGTCATCGCCAGTTTTGTTTGTTTGTTTGGGGAAAGTGGAAGTGGTTTGCTTTTGTAGAGTGTTTGTTTGGTCAATTATCGAACCGAATGATTTTTCTCAATCATAGTTTTGGTGATTGTATTTACATTATCGATGTAGTTGGAGCTAGTTGTTGAACTATTCACAGGGGGGGTTCATATAGCTAACTGGAGAGACTTCAACCTCCATGTTTAATCACTAGGATTCGTGTCCCACGAGCTTATTTGTTTCCCCTTTAACTTGCTACGGTTGTTTCACACTACCTAGTTGCTATAGTCCGAATGCCTTTATCTTCTTTTTCTCTTTTCTCTTGCTTAGATTTCTAGTTCCGTCACTGATTGGAGCCAACTTGGAGATAACAAAGCTCTTGTCTGCTGCCTAGTGCCTATGTCTTAATTAGTGGAGAAAGTGAAGTTTGGGTACCAGTTTAGTGACAAAGGTAGAGTTGAGGCACGAAGAAGGAACTGACCATGAAATTGGGTGGGTAGGCGTTAGTTGTGAGGGAATTAGAAAGTGAGAATCAGGAGGGTTTCATGGGGAAATCCGAAGGCTCAGGTGGACTCAAAAGATTCACACAGCCACCTGCTAGCTCCTGGTGTTTGGGGCTCACGCTCCCCTTTTTTACCATTTTGTTGCATAGAAAGTGGACACTTAATTTTAAGGCTATTGCTAATATGAGCTCAACACTTTGATTTTTAATATGTATCACTTGACTACTTATTAGAATTATTTGATTTTTTTCTTTCTTTCAAACAAGCAATGTACCTCACCCGAAAAATAAAATATAAAAATTAAAAACACTTGATCTCGACCCAGTCTAAGTCAACTGAATACTCTAAAGTCCAACATACCCACCCAAACAATACCCATACTTCATTGATCGTCATGGTACGAACATTGCCCACCCAGTCTAAGTGGGATATTAAACTTGATAAAGACAACAAAATGGTCATTCTATTAGTTACTACGAAGCTAAATTACAGGTTTATAAGAAGTTAGAGTCTTAAAGTGAAAATCATCGCAACTTGTTGGTAACCTCAAAGTGAAGTGACCGATTTATGTAATTTATAAATAAAAAATGTGGGGAGGAGAGTGAAGCACACGATCAGATGGAGCGGGTGAAGGCTTCTGGCCATGTTATGAAGGGTTGGTGAGAGAGAGAGAGAAACAGTGAGGCGAGTGGGTGGCGCGCGCGTGTGGGGCATTTCCTGCGGGCCTGGGCTCCGTTTCGGATCTCCGGTTCCCTCCAGCTGGTGACTGGTCCAAGCGAATCTGATTCAACGGCCAATAACGAAATTCTGTGAATTTGACACAAACAATAAATAAAATACATCAACACATGTTTCATTAATATTTTGTCTTCTCGATCTCATCGAACATCGACCGTCCTATGTGCATGTTCGACAGTAGCAAAGGAGATTTTTCTTCGACTTGCTATTTGGTTAAATATTTGATTATGAGATTCTACAAGAGATTCTACAGTAGTGTGATATAATAATGGGTTTGATCGATGTCATATAGACAAAAAAGCCTCAGTCAAATTGGCTTGCTATATCACACGGAGAGAGAATTCGATCACATTTGTAAATTGTACTGGTTGCTATTAGGGATGGCTAACATAACCTTATTCATGCATATTTTATCCGATCCAACTTGGTCAAAGCGGGTAAGATCTGTGTTGATAGATTACGAGTCGGGTTCGGGTTTAAACTCATTTTACTATTTTGCTGGTTAGGTTTGGGTTTAGTCATATCCAACTCGTACCGCTCTAATTTGTTTTTTTCTAATTGTGTAGAATGAAGTGATATTATGGAGTGGAGAGTGAAAAAGCTTAGTTGACAAAGACTCAAAGAGGAAGAAGCTTTCAATTAATTATGTTGTTTATGTATGTGTATTTTTAATGTTGAACAATTTGTATAGATAATTTGTGGTTTGCTTGTATGGTCTAGATCGGTGTTTTTTGTACGAATAATTTGTATGCGAAGATAGATGTTAGACTTTTATTTTGATAGGAAGTTATTGTGCATTTATAGAACCCATAGGTATCCATGAACCCGCAGATACCCAGCGGTTTGGGTTGAATTTGAGTTTTACCCCGAATTTTTTGTGTGGATATACCCATGGATTTTAGTTCGGGTTTGACTAAATCTAGTCCAACCCGACCCATTGCCATCCCTAGTTGTCAGTTGCTACAAACATTTTCTACAGGGCGTGGCTATTGTAGCGACTTGATTGATGAAACGAGAATTTCGTGGTTCAGTCGTCTATACTGTACCACAAACCATGCTATTGACAAAGTAATTAGCCTTGTCGGGGTGATAGGCGAATTTTGTGGTCCATCCGCCAGTTCGATACAAATATCACAAGTCGTGTTGTTGACATCTTATTTCAAGAGAAAAAGTAAATGTCAGTCCAAAAATAAAGCCCATAATTTCATCAAAATCAAGAAATTCACGGCTAATAATAATGATTTACTTTCTCGTGCATCGAACAAGTTGTTCGTCATTGATAATATGGATTTATCTCTTAGCAATTGAAGAATTCATTCTTACTTCCCCCTATCATATTGCCAAACACCCCTTTACTACAGCGATAACTAATCATCCCCGATCACCATAAATGATCGTATGATACATTAAATGTCTGATCACAAAACGATATATCTATATGGATAGACAGAGTTCGAAACATGATATCGTGATTAAAATGATGATGACGATCAACTACACGTCACCTTGACGATTACTTCATTAACCGAACTATGATGGGATTCATGAATCCTGGTCACTGGGGCTATTAATCAACCAAACTGTTCAGGAGCGGCTCGGAGTTCGACTCGAGAATTACTCGTTCGATTCGGAAAAAAGCTCGATTAGTTTATTAACGAGTTGAATTTGAACTAAACCTTGCTCATCTCGTGAGCCAAGTCGAGTAGGTGGCTTTCTGAGTTCAATTTGTAAACTGTCTCGTTAAGAAATCACGAGAGGTCTCAACATTATAACTAACTAGGGGTGGCTATACGGTCCGGTCCGGTTAAATTGGCCCAAATTGATCCGGTCCAGTCCGGTCTTTTTGAAAATATAAGGACCGAAGATTGGATTGGATACAGTCCGGTCTTGATCCGGTCCGGTCCCAATTCGGTCTTGATTTTACATTGAGATTGTGGGATTTGAGTGGCCTAAGGCCTTAACGGGTGAGGAGTTGGTTAAGTTTTGTACTAAGTGCAAAGGTTTGTGACCGTTTATGCAAATTACCCTTAAGTTTTGGGTGTTGAACTCTCTTATCCGGTTTTTTACCTCAAATCTAAGCTCAAAGATTGGATTGGATTGTTTACCATCCGGTCCCGGTCCGGTCTCGGTCCGGGTTATACGGTCTGGTTTCCAATTTTTAATCCGGTCCCGGTCCAAATAGCCACCCCTATAACTAACGACCCAACTTAACTAATATTTTTTGTGACTGTAAAGAATGTTAATTGGTTGCCCTTGCCCAAAGCCCCGAACAGAACAAGCCTGCCCTAGGTTGAGTGCAAAGCCTCGTCCTAGAAAACAACCATAAGGTTTGGGCCTTTTATTTTTGTGCAAATATCCCACACCTCCGGCCCAATACAATTACCGTTGAATCTTCGGTCCAATGGGTTGCCGATCGCCGACTTGCCTCGCGCCTGGCGAATAAGCGAAGGCTGCTACGCTGCAGAGTGCCGTCGTCCATACGAGTCCAAAAGCTATCACTCAATAGGGTTGAAACTTTGCAGTTCCCCATTTCCATTTTGAGGTAGGTTTTAGGAAGATGGATAAAACGGCATCGTTTTATGGTCGGTCGGTTAGCTTCGGTTAGCCGGTTAACCGGCCTCGGTTACTCGGCTAACGAAAGAACCAACAACCTTCGCCGACAACCCGACCAAAACCATCAATCCCTCGGTTCTCGGTTAGCCGCTAACCGGCAGTTACCGATTAGACCGATCGGTTAGTCGCTAACCGACAACCGAAATGACAGCCCTACCTAGGTGTTTCAAGTTTTGATTTTCGCTCTCGGATGATGACAATGATGTAAACTTTTTATTTTTCATATTGGTAATGCAAGTGAGTTTTTGTAAAAAAAAAAAAAATCTCTTAATTATTTAGTTATATTTTGATAAAATTAAAACGAAATTCATCCAATCTCAAATATAGACAGCGAAGGCTTTCACAGGGACCGAAACGTAAATCAGCCCAAATATAGACGAACACAAAAGGACACACCAATCATCTCTACCTGCCCGTTGGCCCAATAGCAGCCGACGGTACGGGCCCAGACAAAAACCAATCCCCGTCGGCCGTCGCGACAAAGACCACCGTTTCGTCCAAACGGAGCGAGCCGAGCTATAAAAAGCCCGACGAACCACCCGTCACTCCCTCATCAGATCTCACCCTCCCTCCCACACAGGATAAGAGACAGACAGAGAGAGAAAC